AAGTGCTGGCTTTATCAACTGCTTCTGCTGGGTGACACCCTCCAGCTGAGCCTTTATTGTAACCTGATCTCAGCGCTCAAATACAGCATAGAGTCATCCAGTGCCAGGCAATTGTCACATCTTTTATAAAGGAAGTGTTGATTCAACCCAGCTCAGGAAGAGCCACCAAGAGTAAAAGGTCTCCAGAGATGGGATTGGGCCTTTTAAGTTATTTACATTAGCGCTTGGCCTGGAACATGAGCCAGGGGCGCTGTGTGCTGTAAAAGAGAAGTTCTTTGATTTATTCATGTCCTTGCACATAAATGCTCTCACCTTTTCATCTCTTCCTCTTCCTCCCTCTCCTGTTCTTTCTTCTTCTTCATCCTCCTGTCCTCTTATCTCTCTCTAATATGTACATAAACATACATCCACATACTTAGTTGTGTTTTTTTTTTAATTTTCAGCGAGTCTAATTTTATCTTCCAACAGCACATGAAAATCTTCTCTTTAGTTGTCATTGAGACACTGGTAGGAGAGTAAGCTCTGTCCTTTCTCGTTTTCTGTGGTGCCAGAATAAAGTCACGTCCTGGGCTGAAGTATTGGAACCTGAGTTCAAGGATGCTAATGTGCGTTGATACACATTGTAGGTCAAAGTGGCTCTCCAATGCTTGTATTTGGGAAGCATCCTGAACACAAGGCTGTGGAGCAGTCTTTCCAAATCTTCCTCAGGTCAGCCATGAACATACAAGCTGAAGATGAACTTGAACTCCTGATTCCCCTCTCTTCACCTTCTGGTCCTAGGATTGCAGGTGTATTCTGTCATATCTAGTGGAATAAAAAATCTTAAGCATTAAAGCTTTGCGATCTCTTTTGTGTGACAACTTAAACTCTTAAATTGCAGAGATTTAAGTGATATGGAATTTTCGGAAACGGCCCTTAGTGGCTAATTTCAAAGCATATTACACATTCAGATCAATTAGGTCTTAAAATTCTTGTTGAGGCCCATGTTGGTTTTTAGTTTATTTTTGGAAAGTGATATTTCCCCCAACCCATTCACCTTTGCTAGTATATTCCCAAGGCAAGATCATTATCATGGAATACTTGAAACAGTTTTACACTCAAATGATTTATTCTTTGCACTAGTGTTCTTGCCATCTGAGATACTTGAAATTCTTTTATTTGTTTTTATTCACTTTTGGGCTGAACCCCAAAAGCCATTCTGTACAGCTCCATCTTGTACCCTTCCATTTTGAAAAGACTGAATGATGTTTCCTTTGTTAGACGTACATATTCCTCCCACCTTTCTCTGTGTTTTCATCTTTCCTTCCAATGAGGCTCCATATGAATTATGTGGGGAACCTAGAGTTCATCATATGAGAAGATAAGTCCATATACCCCATGTTGGGTCTCAAAAAGACATCACTGGGTTGGCAAAATGGCTCAGTGTGTAAGAGCCCTTGCTACACAGGCCTGAAGAGTCCAGTTCAACCCCTGGAACACACATATAGCTAGAAGGAGAGAACTGACTTCAAAATGTCCTCTGACATCTACAAATGGGTACCCACGTCCATCATACATACACTAATAACAATAATAATAGGAAGAAGAAAAGTAACTTTTAAAGACAGCAACTAAATAAATCACTTTGTTCCCCACATGAAACTGTCCTCAGAGTAAGCCTAAGGAATCCTACAGTTTACTCTGAATGTATAATGAGTATATATACAGTGTATAGACTATATGGACTGTATAGATTGGTTGCAAAGGGAACATTGGCCTGCTCTTCCCTGCCTGCTGCTGACATACAGGGGTGTGCTTGTGAGATCATGGTGTGTGCGTGAATGCTTTTTCTTAGACACTTAATACCTTCTTTTTGGTCGAGATGAGGAATAGCTGATGTTGGTTTTAGAGAATGCAGTTTTTTAAAAGTCAAAAGCCAAACCTGGAGTGGTGTGGCACGCCTTTAATCCCAGCACTCAGGGAGTCAGAGGCTTTCAAATCGCTGTGAGTTCAAGGTCAGCTTGGTCTATAGAGCAAGTCTGGGACAGCCAAGGCTCCACAGAGAAAGCCTGTCTGAAAAATAAAAACAAAACAACAACAAGAAAAGCCAAAAGCCTGGCGAAACCAAGGAAATCTGCAGTCCTGGCTTTCTTTGCCTTAGTACTGCATGTAGGCAGCCTTCCTCGTTTTCCCCATATTTCTCTGCTCACTGTCTGCTGCAGCCCTACTCTGTTTCCACCTCACAGCTGGAGCCTCCTTTTCGGATTAGCCTTTCCTCTGGAGAATCTGATGGTAAGGCTGAAGGTGTAGCAGAACTTCCGGTCCTGTATGAAAAGCCTAGGAGCTCTGTGCGGAGCTAAGGGAACATGAATAGTAGAGGAGGCATTTGCTCCTGTAGGCACCTTGCACAGGGGACTATTTTTCTTATATGATATAAATGAAATCTTCACTCTGCCCACTTTTCTGCCTACGCATGTACCGAGCGTCTCCAAGGAGACAAGGAAACCCAGAGTCCAGCGACGGTGAATCCTCCACCAAGACAGCAGGCTGGAGTCTCAGGCAACTCTCCCAGGCATCCTGCCTTCCAGCTGCCCCTCTCAGACAGCCTTCCTTCCAAGCAGGCTCTCTTAAAACGTGTCTCTCTCTTTCCAGGCGGGAGCCTGGGCACTGTGTATGCAGGACTCTTGGGGTGAATTCAGTAGCAGGTGGACAACCTGGAAGAGGGTGGATGTTGTCAGGCGGCAGCAGGAGGCGTGTTCCGCCTCTGAGGACAGGGTTGCTCCTTTGTCTCCTGCCATTCGGTGCTTCTGTTTGTGCTCCTCTGTACCTCTTCGCCACTGAGACCCTGCTCGGTCATAAGAGTTGTCCCAAAAGTTCCTGTGGCCATAGTCCCTTAGGAGCTCTTTTGAGTGAACTTGTCCTACAAGTAAGTCCACCTTTTCTAGGTTTCTGCTCGAGTGGAGGAATCCCTCCATTATTTCTCATTTTCCTGTTTCCATGAGTATAGTACCTGGATGCCCTGGCCTTGACCCCTCCCGCCCCTCAGCATTGTCACCGTATTTTCGTATATGTGCACCTCAATATCCACGTGACCCAGCTGTTCATCCCTGAGGAAGGCAATACCACGTCAGTGTATTATGGTCACTTCCTAAGCGCAAGCTATCAGATTTTGTTTGAGGCATTGATCACGTTCGTGTTACCTCTTCCTTGAGGCACACCTACTGTAAGTGGCCGCATTTCTGTAACTATTAAATATGTAAACATATATTTAAATACATCTACCTGGGGGACTGGAGAGAGGGTTTAGTGATGAAGAGCGCTGTCTGCTATTCCAGGAAATCCCTAGTTCGGTTCACACTGCCTACCTCATCCAGCTCACAGTCTCATGAAACCCCATCTCCAAGGAAACTGACATCCTCTCTGGCCTCCAGGTACCATTGCACACATAACACACGCATGTGCATGTGCACATACACGCATATTTGATCTTTACAAATTTTATATGATGCGCAAGGATTTCCTTTTTATGTAAGTGTATCACTTTGTGACCATCCTTTCTGGATCTTAAATGTATATCCTCTTCTCACTTAAGTAGACCCAAGTAATATAACTTTTCAATGTGATTTTTCTGGCATAGTACTCACACACTTCAGTTTCCTATGGCCTATCCTGCTCTCATCTTCACTTAGGTGTGGTAGTCTCTATTATTCTTACTTAGTTTTATGGCAGTATCTAAATACTGGCCATATCTGTGTTGCTGATACTTCTCTCTTCACTTGAACTTCAAAAAGGGGAGGGGGTGCTACCCAGTCATATGTTCACCCTTTGGAGGTCTTCCTGTATTTGTTTTGTCTTATTGTCAATTCATACCACTTCCATAAACTACTGTCTTCAAAGAAAGCCTCCCCATTTCAAAAAGTTTGAGTCATTTAGACTAAGCAGCTTGGCTCTTGGGTTCATAGTGAGAGGTTTGGGATGACTGCAGGTCACCTCTTTTCTGCTAAGCTTTCCTTTTACTTTATCTCTGTCTGCCAGTCTATATAAGGTAGCTCAGGCTGGACTCAACCTCTGAGGATGACATTGAGTTTCTGACATACTTTGTATATTCTGTAACCAAAAGTTTTTATTTTTTTCCACGTGGGAGGTTTATTAGGGGAAGGGGGTGGAGAGAGAGAGAGAGAGAGAGAGGAAGAGAGGAAGAGCATAACCAAAAGTTTTAATGTTGGGAAGAACATCCATGTATAACCGATGTCACACACACACACACACACACACACACACAGCTGAAGATGACCTTGAACTTTTGATCCTGTAGCTCTTCCCTCCTAAGTGCAAGGATTACAGCCTGTGCCACCATGCCTGCTTCATTTGATACTAGAAATTGGACCCATGGCTTTGTGTATGCTAGGCAAGCCCTCTCTGAGCTGAGATATCCCAGCCCATGGGCTTTCCTCTTCTGTCATCTAGGGAGACCATTCCCAATAGACTTCCCTCTGCTCCAAGCTTTCTGTGGGAATAGCTGTGTCTATGGTGGCCCATTTTCCTGTGCTCCGCTGTCTAGCTCTTTCCCTTTATTGGGATTCAGGCATGGTGAAAACACAAACCTTGGCTTTCTAAGTTTCCCCAAGAAGAATCTGGTAGGACAAGGTTTCTCCAAGAAGAGCCCTTCCTTATCCCTTGAGCCTTAAATTTCCCTCATCCGCCATGACCACACTCTAACATCTGTCCACAAAGCCCCAGCCACTCACCCTTACAGATGTCATGTCATATTCAGTTACATATGATACTGTGTCTAAGGAGTCCTGGGTAATTTCACCAAAGCAAAGGAAATGGAAGCACATTCTATAAAGTTTTCTCTGTAGACTGGCAGGAAGATTTGTTTGCCAGTATCTTTGCTTGGAAGTGAGAAATTGAGGGCCATCCCTGAAGGTTTTTTTTTTTCCTTTCCTGAGATCCTCTTTGTGAGGAAGTCCCCAGACCTATGTGATAACTAAGCCTTTCCCTTCATTTTTTTCTTGTAGGCCCTGCAGGTGGCAAGGCAGCTCCTCCTTCACCAGCAGCAGCAGCAACAACAGCAGCAGCAGCAGCAACAACAGCAGCAGCAGCAGCAGCAGCAGCAACAGCAGCAGCAGCAGCAACAGCAGCAGCAGCAACAGCAACAGCAAGTTAGTGGATTAAAGTCTCCCAAGAGGAATGACAAGCAACCAGCTCTTCAGGTAGCAACTCTTTTTAAAAAAAAAAAAAAAAAAAAAATTATTGTCATGCCCTTTTCCATGGCTGAAAAGCCTTGCAGAGGTGCATTTTCATGACCGTTGCAAACCATCTAAGGAAACATTGTGCAAATGTGTGTTCTTGGTTTCTGAGCTGATTATGACATCATGAGGAAAACATCTCTCTTTGACCAAAAGTTCGTTGTTGTTGGGGTTTTTTTGTTTTGTTTTTTTTTGTTTGTTTGTTTGTTTGTTTTATATCAAAATTTTTAATATTGGGAGGGATTTAAATCATAATTCAACATGCTCAGGGCCTTGTGCATGTATAAAGCAGCACTGATACCACTCATCCACCTGTCTTCACCATTCCCCACTCCCAGCTCCTTCAGATTGACTCTTTTTAGTTTCCACAAATGGGAAAGAGCAGAAGAGCAAACAATACTTGCTTCTCTGGGTCTAGCCAGTTTCACTTACCGATATGGCCTCTGTTTCCAACCATTTTGCCGCAAATGACAGGAAGCTGTTTCTCTGTGAATGAAACAACTCCATTGTTGTTAATCCACTTCTCTGGTGATAGGAATGTAGGCCTATAATACCATGCTTTAGCCATCATGAATAGTAGCATAGCAAACACGAGTGTTTGAGTATCTTCTCAGTATGCCAGCATGTTACTTATTTTCTGGGGCTGTGAAAAAAAACACCATGATGAAGGCAACTTCACAATGAGAAAATTTATTTGGGATTTCCATTCCAGAGAGAGAAGAGTCCATTGAGGCTGAGAGGCATGGCAGCGTGTGTCAGACTTGGCACATGTCTGAACTTACATCTTCAACCCTGAGCTTGAAGCAAAGAGAGTGTTCTGGAATGGCACAAGTCTTTCAATCTCCAGGCCAGACCCCAGTGATAGAATTCCTCCGTAAGGCCGAACCACATAAACCTCTACAAACAGCACCACCAACTGGTCACCAAGTGTTCAAATGCCCGAGACTGTGGGGGACAATGCCCATTCAGATAGGAGCTGTCTAGCTAAAGTATGCGATGGTTCTGTTTGTTAGTTTTTTTTAGGCTCTTCATACTTTTGGCGGACTCTTTATCATGCTTTCCATAGTGCCAGATTAATTGACTTCCCCATTGACAGTTTCTACAAGTTCCTTATTCTGGAGACATATTGGCTATTTATAACTAAGGGGCAAGGGTGCAGGGACATTCCTTGACATCTCAGTGCTTCCTCCAAAAAGGAGCGGTGCTTAGCATCTCCAGATCTCTGCAGTGTCAAGAGCTTCTCTTTGGCCCCAGGAGGATATGATGCTTCTGATATTATACCAAATAATGAGTATAATCGAACACATGCCCTTTTTCAGCCGGTGTTTGCAGAATGTTTCTGAATCATTAATTGAAAACAGGGAACAATTTTTATGAAATGATAACAAAAAGAAGATTCTTTCAACAACTTCTCACGTCACGTACGTCGAGGGCCAAGGGGTTAATAGAGTAGAACGAGGAGTAAGTCCATAAAGTCTAATTTGGATTTGGGTCTTGGAGTAGAAAATTGCAGTAGAAATTTCGAGGAAGCTCGAGTCGGGGTATTGGTGCCCACGTTCAAGTGAGGAGATAGGTTTTAGGTGTCCCTTCCCCACCCCCCAACTAGAGGCTAAGGATGGGTTTCTCACTGGAAATTTTGTAACAATCTTTGATGGGCAGAAACACAGTGTGTTACATGTCTTCTGTGTCTGATGTCACTTGTGATGCAGTGTGTTGACTTCTCCCTGGATTAGGATAAACTGTTACCCACTTCCAAAGCTTCCTGCACACGTCATCCTGTCTTTAGTCAACCAATTCTAGTTCTCCTACTAAGCCAGGGGAACTGTTCCTTTTCCAAGAAATGTCCAACCATATAGTGACAGGTTATTGGGCAAGTTGTGCATCGGTGTGAACTCTTTACAGACTCTTCCGAAGACAGCTGTGTGGTAAACTACCAGCAACCCGCCCCCTCTTACCGCTGAGTGGGTGCGGGTATGGGAGACAGTTTTAATGAGGTGCGGTGCTGTGGAGGGCGGGCGTCAGGTGTTGTAAGAAGGGCTTTGTTGTGCAGATGTCTTAAGAACAGCTCAGGAGGATGAAATATGACTGTGTTGACCTTTCAGCTGTGAGCTTATTTGTCAGGATTCAAATAAGTTGAAAGGATCAAACTGAACAGTTTCCGTAGTCAGTCTGGGAATTGTGTTCCAGGGGTCAGCAGCGGAGGCCACATTGCAGATTCCATAACATAGCCAATTGTTGGTACATATTAAAGTACCAGGGCATCTCCTGCAGACAGAGACACAATTAAAATTCTAATTTATTAATGTATACAGGGAGCTGGCCCAGCCTGTCACTCAGTGATTCAAATGCCTGTCCATTCTTTGGCCTCCTTCTTGGAGCCTCTCACAGCCTTGAAAATACTAGGAGTCCTGTTGAATTCATCAGGCCTCAAGTTCATTGGCAAAATGGCAGTATAATATTGGGAAGAGAAGTATCCACAGTGCAGCAGCTTTAGTTTGAAGTTTTAAAGATACATACAAAGACACTGTCCAGTGACAGTGTTGTAGAGAGTCGAATACCGTTTATGATTAAAAATAAACTGGATTTGTTTTTCCATTTGTGTGTGTGTTGTACACATTGAGTTTGTTATTCAGTCCAGCTTCACTTTTTTTTTTTTCTTTTGAGACACTTTATAGCCTTGGTTGGTCTGGAACTTGCTATGTAGACCAGGTTGGCCTCAGACTCACAGAAGTCCGCTTACCTCTGCAATCAAGGGTGACACCAGCCTTCCACCTTACTTTCTGAGAAACCGTTTCTCGCTGGATTTGAACCCACGGATTCTACTCTGTGACTTGCCCTGGGGCTCCAGGGATCTGCTCGTCTCCTCCTCCGCAGGCGAGGACTGCATAGGCAGACCTCTGTGTCTTGTTCGCACATGTGGGGGCTGAGACCTGAACTCACCCGCTGGAGTGAGGCTGGAGGCCCTTTACCAGTGAGCTGCCTCTCTAGCCTTAACACTAGTGTTTTTACAATGTGGCATTTAGGGTAAGGAGTGGAGATTCGTTAGGCCTAAATTGATAGCTGATGTGAAGTTTTAGGGCATTTCATCTTGAGGATTCTATTTTTTCTTAACCATTGAGGATTTTTGCAACAAGCCAAAAAGTCTGACATGTGGCATGCCATGGACTATGGCTAGGGCAATGTGAGAGCCGCTGCGTGGGGAGGCGCTCCACAGTTCAGCCTGTGCAGAAAAGATGGAAGGAGGATGGTTCTCAGAAAGCCTAGTCTGTTGAAGATGATGCTGTTTCCTCTTGGCTCCTCAGTGGTAGAACTGACAAGCATGGAATTTAGACTGACTTTTAAGGGCTGGTGCATGTGCGTGCATGTGTGCATGTATGTTCGTGCATGCGTGCATGCAATATATATGTGTGTTGTCTTTGTATCTGACCTCTTGCTGAATATAGGGTCACTCGAACCCAAGCTGTATCAGTTTAGTGCTGCCTTCTACTAACAGAAAGGAGAAACTGCTGACCTCAGTCACCTTATCTGTCATTATGTTATAAGAAGATGTATGTAGCCTTGGTGCTTCTCGGAAGAAATAACCTTGACACTGAAGTCTATCCCGGAGTGCCTTGTCCTCCCTGGGCGGCTCACCTGGAGTGGCTCTCAAATGAAAGGGAAATCCTGCCATTCTGCGCAGCCTTCCTCTCTGATCTCTTTTCCCTTCGTGGCAGGTTTCAGATCTGCATAGAGGAAGGCTTGACGCGGATGGAGGATTTGATCTGCTGAAAGCTTGAGAAGGGAAAGAAAAGAAAAGACACCTTAACTTCCCAAATATGCTATGACTTGCAATTTAAAGCATATCTCCCACTTCTCCACCTCATGTTTGGCAGCACGCTTCATTTTCACAGGCTGATGAGACAAAAGAAAAGGGAAAGTGCAGGGAGGCTGTAAGTGGCTGCTGGACAGAGATAGAGATTATGAGCCCAAGTCAGAACTTACCAAAGTGGACCGACTAGTTACAGTAGGAGGGAAACACATGCTGCTGACACATGCTAAGCTGAGCCTGTGCCTGCGTTCTCAGGACACAGCCTGGGTAATTGCTGAAGAAGGCGTGAACCAGGTACACAGGCCACTTTTGGAGTTCTTGACCGGTATTCGGCTCACCGTCCTGCATTGTCTTTTTTTGCTTCCTCTGTTAATTTGCCTCGCAAATTTCTTTCATGAATGATAAAAGTGGAAATTGAAAAACTGGCTCCCTCCTAAATTCACAACCAGAATGTTCTGAATCTTTTAGACGCATCTTGGTGAACACCTGGGGGGAGCCACAGCATGCTGCCTGCTAGCCAACTGCTCATAGGAACCCACACTGTTGACACAGACCTTGCCTTTAGGATATTAAGTGAATTAGTGTGATTTTGCTTAAAAAATAAGAGAGGTGGGTAAAAATAGTAGGCTGCTTTTTATAAATATCTATATACTTCTGAGGACTGCTCAAACAAGTAAAATTAATGCCGAACAGTACAGGTGCCCCATAACCTCCAAAGCTTGTGGCCCTACTGGCTAACGATCAGTTGGCAGTAGATGAGCAACTTTTATTGATCAAATTTTGGAACTTTGACTGACATTTCTGGGTAGTAGCTCCTTTTGGTTCTTTAAGCCTTCTCGTTGTTGGCTGGAACACGTAACACTGGAAGGAACTCAAACGACACAGTTTCTCCTCAGAAAGAGGAGGGCTCCAGCAGCATGCAGGTCGAGACAGAAAGCAAGCCTTGTGTACTGCTTTCAGTGGGAAGCTGACCGCAGCTCCAGGCTGGCTGTGGAGAGTGTGAGCTCAAAGCCACGCATCTGATTGGTTTGTCCCTTTCCTCCAAGGTTGTATGCTGTGCAAACCCCTGACCCAGAAGGCAATTTTTTCCCCCCTAAGAGAATCAATAGTGAAATCCACTTGAGGACCAGCCTTTGGCTCAGGGTTGTAAGAGGTC